TAATTTTAAAGACTACATACCTAATAGTAAGATATCTACAAAAGAAAACAAACAACAACAATAAATGCAATTTTTTTCTTCTTTCTTAACTCTCAAAAGAAAAAAAACCTTGGAAAACATTCATACGAGTTTTTATCAGTTGTACATCGTAAAACGTTTGTTTATTTTATTTACAACATTTCCCCAGGTTTACCTGGCATCATTAGATGAGATACAAGAACTTGTATCTCACCTGATGACATCAGGTAAGCCTTGGGAAATGTTGTGAATAAAATAAACAAAAGTTTTACTATGTACAATTGATAAAAACTTGTGTGAATTTTAAAAAACATAGTTCTTTCTAATATTTAATTCATGTCACTTAGAAAGCATTGTTCTGAAAAATTAAAAACATAAACCCATAAATAGAAGAGCTATAAAATAACCAACTAACTGAAACATGAACACTTCAACATAATTTTAACTTGTTGTTAAGTAGTAGCAGAAAAAAAAGCGCAGCCAGCAAGGCATGGGTGACTATAGTTTCTTTTTACCCTAGGTTCTCTGCTACATATTAAGGGAGGAGGGAACAGTCTGAACATGCAAGCACACAAACTCGCTGTTTGTGATAGTACATTTGGAGGTACAATACATGACCTTTATTACAAATAGCAGATAACTTAGGGTAGCATATCCTCTGGAGTTTGGCATGCTTTCAGTCATCATATAAGGTGTGTGCGTTGATTAAGTAATGGAAGCAGGGGCCGATGTCATCCACATGCCATTTACACTGAAGTTTGTACTCGTTGACCAAAGTTTTTACACATGCATTCCATCATATAGAACTATATACATTTTCATAAGGTCACTCAAATCATGGTGCACTGTCACCTAAGATGGAAAAATAAACTTTTCTGTTACAGGTGCTGAAGGCTTAATGGCACAGGGCACTCCTTCAGTACTTAAAAATTACATGTTTTATTCCCTGTACAACTCAAGGCGGTAAAAGAGGGTTTCAGACACAACCATGACAGGAGGAACATTGAAGCAGCAATTAATTTCAGAAATCAAATAAGACAGCACATACCACACACACCAAAATACACCATGTCCTTGCACTACTTACCTTAAAGAAACCATACAAGTATGGTACCTTTACAAAATATATATATTTTGTTTCACTTCAAAGGCCCTGAGTCAATAGCTTTAATATTAACAATTCACTTTGTTCCCCCTGCCGACAGTGTCTGTTCTATTGGCACTGACAGTAACGATTGGATAAGTGATTCCTAACCGAGGTGTAGAAGTTTTGTGTTGAGTTTGGGATCTTCATTCATGTATAACATTGAAAGCATGATGTTAAAAGGTATGTACGATCTAAAACAGAGATCAAAATATTAACATGATGTTTCAAAATTCTGACTCGAGCATACATTTAGTATCTTAGATGCTAATCCTTTGTAAGCCACAAATATCTGGCAGTTGCACAATACCTTAGTAAATCAATACCTCATAAACACATCTGCAGGTTTCTCAAAAATGTATCAGTTTCCCTAAACAGGGGTTAAAGTACCAAAAAACCACTACTGTGAGAAAAACACTTAGTGCACAAATCTGCTATTTAGGTGTGAGTTCCTAAGGTATAACTCACACCCTAAAGAAAATATATTGATGTTAATCACTATAAATCCTTCTGAAATGTGTTGAGAATTTCAAATATGCATATGATATGTAATGCAAACATAATGTGAAAGAGACAAGCTTTAAATGACTTAATACTCAAAACTAGGATAGATGATTTAATCTAGCTAAAAAAAAAAAGATATCAATTTGAAATCTATGTGCAGAACTTTTATATAAACAATGTTGTTGTCATTAACCATATATATAAATAATCTAGCATTTATGAAAGGTATGGTGTGGACATAAAAAATTTCAATTGAATCTAACTTTTCATTTTGAAACAAGTCAGAATTTTTGTGAACATTATTAGCTTTTGTAATGTGATGCTTTAACGGAAGATTGGAAACGTAACACCTCTGAAAGAATTTTAAATACCTTAACTGTTTTTAATTTAATAACAGACTAAGTTTCTTGCTAATATCAAATCATGCACCACTTTCTGTGATGCAACTTGTCCTTAACACTTAGCAACAAACATATAGAATTTCCAATAAAATGCCTGAAATTTCACAGACTAATTTTCCTCTGAAGAATCACTTTAGACAATTTTCATACCACTTTTCTTTAGCAACTAAGTTTCTTGCAAAACAAAAAAAATACTATTACTTTCTTAATATCACATTAATATTTGTTACTTTGAAATGTGTAGCTTGTGAATCATCAAAAGGTTAGTTTATGGCACCAACTTATAAGAGAGTAATAGCTAAATATTACCAGAAATTATAGAATACATTAAATATAAAAATTTAATGGTTTTCTGTGAACAGAATTCATTCATACAATGCAATAACTGTATTTTTGTTTTAACTAATCATTACAATTTGTGCTAATTAGCATGTTATTCTTGATACTTACCTATATAAGAAATACCTTATTTTTCAAACATTTTTGCAAGTCCTTTACTGCCCCACTTTCTAGTCAGTGTAACATTCTTGTTAGGTGTGAAATTAGAAAAAAGAACTAAGCCTATATGCAATTAAAAGAATTTATAATATTACTGGTATTGATATTATTCAAATAAACAAATTTCTTATTCACTTCACTCAGTCATAACAATAATAGCAGATATGACTCATAATCACTGATTCCATCAAGTGGGAATGTGAAAGCATATTAACTTATGAAGTTACACAAATAAAAAATGTTGTTTATTAAAGCACAAGGATAATTTATGTAATTCAGTATCTTGTGGTACGAAGTATAAAGTTATATACAAAGATGTTGGATAGCAGAGTAAAGATAATAATAACTAATAAAAACTGATATATCTATTCTCATCTAATATGCCATAACAAAAGAAGGAAAATGTCCACTTACTAATTGTTTTACTACTCAATTGAAACTGATCCTCTTTCAACCGAGATAATATATTAATTACTTGTTTGTTTTGTCAAAAAATTAAAAATTCCAATGAAACAACTGGCCAAAAAAACATAATCAACCATTATTATTAGAGACTCAAATACTGTTGAAACAATGAAACTGTTTCATTGTTACCTCTAATCTTGAGATGTTTTCTGACCTTGCATGAAAAAGTTGGAAAGCTAATCTGTGCTCACATAAAAATGGAAAGAGACCCATTTCAAGCAGTCTTACAACAACAAAAAAGAAATACAACCTTCACAAGCAGCCAACAAGAGCTTATGCATAAAGTACCAAATTAATATAGTTGGAAGTATTTTAAAAACTTTCACAGCAAAGAAAAAGAACTTCAAGAAAATTTGTACTATTTTTGTTAAGGAGCTAGTAAAGGACAGGTTTAACAGAATAAGAGAAGTTAAGAATGTAATGAGTTCTAAATGCTTTTCCACTCATTAGATGAATGGGCTTTTCAACATAAGCTGTTAAACATAAAAGGCAGTAATTCAAAACATGAAAGAAAAATAAAATCAATATTACAAACCAGATAATTTTTTTTGTTTTCCTAAAAGATACATAAAATTATACCAAAAGAAATAATTGTTCTATCAAAAACATCTTTTAAACTATTGCACCTTTTAAGATTTTAGATACATTGTCATCAAACAAGTTACCAAATTGGAAGTTCAAGATAAATAAAACCAAACTGCTAACAAAAATGTGTATGTGTGTAAATGCTATCAGTTGCAGAACCTGAGATAACTTTATATATATAATATACATATATATGTGTGTGTGTATATATATCATCTTTTACTTCATAGAGATATGTATTAGTCTATATATTATATACATTTTTTTTGTTTTTCTTCTTTAAGTTGGATATATATATATCTCACACACACAGACATTAAGTGTTATATCATACATTGTATAACACAATTGGTGAAGATGTGTGATATAAAAAATGTGGTGGTCAAGACAGAATATGTAAACATAGGATTAGGCCTTAACAAGAGTAGGTAACACACAGTGCACAAACATTTTGTTTATTTGTTCAATGCTATCTTTTCTAAGTTGTTATACTTTTCAAACTAGAATGTTGAATTAGTTTTCCTATATTTGCAAACTTGTGTACAACAACATCTGAATTTTTTTTCTTAACTAGTGTAACACTTCTCTCTCTAAATTTTATGCTTCTGTAGAAATATACATTTAAAACAGAAAAAATCCAAAAACAAGATGATTCATATTGTTTCAAAACTAATATTAATGTAAACAAAACTCCAAGTATTCTAGGAACAAACTTCTATCATTTCATTTGAATGCTTTAAAATCCAATAAGTCATGCCAAGTCATTTCTACCTCAACTGAAATCATTGATTGCCTAATGTTACCAACATATGTAGGCAGTATAGTAATATGTGAAAAACTCAAAGTTTAGTGTTTCACTCTTGTGATTTCCTAGAAAGTAAATCTATCATAAATACAAGTTTCTTGTATAAGTGTGGCACTGTTTATAATAAAATTTATAGACTTGCAACTTGAATAAAAATCCGTGCCCCTCAAGGTTGTACAGATTAAATTTTTCTTTATCTTAAAGTTAAAAATAACAATAACTATTATTTGGTTGTTTAAACATCACAGTCACAAGTTGAAGAGAATGTGGTCACCATAGAAACAGGGGGTGAACAGTGAATTGTTAAAGGACATTTCACGACCATTATTTGTATTTGCAGATGACTACAAAGGAAGAACTGATGGTGGCAAGATGGAGAAACACCTTCATCCTAAATTGTGACTACACACATCAACCACTGAATACATGTTTAATTTTAGGCTTCTCAAAAGCCAACCATAACAAAGGTTACAGGTTTCACCAGAATAAGAATACAAAGAAGTAGTGGGGAAGGGGTAGAGTATAAGAAATGTCTCAGATAGGTCATTGCAGCTTCTCCTCAGCCAGAGAGTGAGGAGATGAGGTCAACTGCTGCAGAGCACTGTCTGAGGCTGAAGGTGATACATAATTCTTGTAAAGTGGGTAAAATGCAGAACTTTGGCTAGGCAATAACACAAATTTCTCACTAGGTTTGATGGGTCTATACCCTTGGGATTCCATGAGACTTGATGTATTCCTGTAAAAACAGAAAAACAGTCACAGAATAAAAAGGTTATTGAATATTGAAATATTCGTAAATTACTATAAATCACAGGTCTTTCACTCAATAAGCTTATCAAGTTGTTTTTTCAAGCATCAAATAAAGATAGAACTTAAATTTTCCATATTAAAATTACTTTTCAACTGCAACTACTTAGTAAGATTTTGTGTATTAATATCGAAATTAACATATCAATAAGTCACAGTTCATTATATTTCATTGATAATGGAAATAACATAAAAACAACCTTTCTTCAAGATGACTTTCATGTTAGACCTTTAGTCCTTGAAGTTAAATACTTTGCAATCTTAAGGTGACCTATTATTTTGAAACTAATATTTTTTCCATTAATATAAACCTATAATTTTGAATTAAAAAGTGCATTAATGAACCAGCAAAATAAGATGAAATTATCTTTAACTGCACTGCTCTTTACACTATATACTAGAAAGGCACTCAGTAGTGCACATAACTCCACCATGCAGTGTTGATCATATTCATCTCTGAAAAAATACAAAAATGTGTTTGCACGTTTCTTGTTATCAAAGGACACGGACCATTTTTGGCAGAACAATGAGAAATATTCTACATATGTCCACTAAGTTCCTCAAAATCTGATCATTTTTCACCGAGTTATAGAGCAAAAATAGAGTGAAAAATTGATCCCCTTGTTTACAGAAAGGGATTTTTTTTATTTTCGTGACCTTGACCCTTCAAAAACTAATAGCTTCTAAGTTGGGTCATAATCCAAATGTATACCAACTTTCATCCAAATCCATTCAACCATTTTTAAGAAATCTTGCTGACAAACAAACACACACAGGGGTGAAAAAATAACCTCCATCCACCTTTAGTTGCAAAGATAATAAGTATAAAAAAAACATCTTTCATAAAAATAGTCAAGCTTCACAAACTTTGGCTTTTAAACCATTAAAAACTTACGAATCTCATAAAATGTGGGTTTGAAAACAGTGACATTTACAGGGGTTGGAGAGAAAAAAAATTAAAACAACTATCCAAAACAGTTTAGTATGGATTTGACCCACCAAGAGACTTGCGAGGAATGTAATAATTTAGTTTTGTTATGAAGAGGCATTTCAGTTGTTTTTTATTTTTTTTAACAGGAATATTATATAATTTCTCAAAGATATACTTGTAATTCCTTTGCCAATGCTGAAGTAGGAAAGTTGTTGAACCATGGTAAAAAAAAATACCCTATAATAATTTATTAATTAAAATCTGTCATTTCAGCAGCCCAGTATTAATGATTAAAAGCTTCCTCATGCCTGTCAAGACAGTCTGCACAGGTCTTCAAAATTAAAACAGGCCATTACAATTCTTGACGATGACAAAAATTTGTCCAAACGTTGTATATTTGCCATTATGTTAAACTTATATTAAAGTTTTTCTTCATTACCCATTCAAGCATTATAATTCTTGAAAAACTCATCATGAGCAGATATGGTTGAAATTAACAGCCATTATCCTGTCTTTTATTGCAATGGTTGAATCAACTCACTTAAACCAACTGTGTGAAAAACTATAGGTTACAATTAATTTTACACTGTACAATCAATAAACTAGTGAGAAAGAATTTTAAGGTGTACATTTCACTTTACCTGATGGAAAGAGTTTATACTTCTCTACAATATTTTTCAGTGATTTTATGAAGGTCAAAGTTACTGAAAATTTACCCTGATATCTTCACCTGTAAATTATAAATACTTTTAAAAGCAATTTTTTGCTCAAGAAACAACTAAACCTTTCCTGCCATTAATTAGATTACTGTTAGCTTTCCAACATTGAAATTACCCTAAGAGTAAACAATGAGGGGCCTGACATAGCAAGGTGGTTAGGAAGCTCAACTCACAATGTACTGGTCGCGGGTTCAAATCCCCATCCTACCAAACGTGCTCGCCCTTTCAACCATAGGGGAGCTATAATGTGATGGTCAATCCCACTATTCCTTGGTTAAAGAGTAGCCCAAAAGTGGGCAATGGGTGGTGATGACTAACTTCCTTCCCTCTAGTCTTTCACTGCTAAATTAGGGATGGCTAGCGTAGATAACCCTTGTGTAGCTTTGTGCAAAATTCAAACCAAACCAAATCAAACAAAGAGATCCCAAATTAAACACATCATTCTAGGCCAATAATAAATTCAAATTTTTAGTAGTTTTTAAGAGCATTTATTCATAAATCTCTGATTCTTTATTCTACTAAAGATCCAATTTCATCCAAAATGAAAGTTTCAATAATCTTAAAAAAGAAAAGAATAAACAAATCCCATCATTAGCAGTTTTTGGATGGGGATTTTCATTACCTCCTACTCTTGGATCTTCAATCAAGAAGATTTTTTACCATATTAAAGGAGTTTTTTTGTTTTTTTTATAATTCCAGGATAAAACCCATTTTGCCAAAAGTCAAGAAGTTTTCAAGGATCCAATTAAATTTCAAAGATATTGTTCAGGCCTATGTAAACCATGTTGTTTATAAATAATCGACTTTTTATCTACCCATGTAACATTTAAGAAAAGTCTAAAAAGTCACATACTTTCTCAGCAACCTTACGTTTTCAGTAAACAAATTTTGCAAGGAGCTGTTTCAACTCTTTCTTTTATCTTTCATCATTCCATAACATTTTAGTTAGTTAATATTTGTCTTCATCAGATGTGCTTCTACAAGCTAAAGGTCCGACTCCAACATCTTACTACCAAGTGTCTAACATCAGATAACGAGTATGTGTATCTTCCATGCATATTGATAAATTACCTCGCTGACAGCTAGCTCTACTACACAGTGCCTTATGACATTCTTAATTTCATACAATACATTTTTGGTACAATAAAGTCAGTTACATATACTTAACTGTTTCTCATTTTTATCTCAGTTCTTTATAACTCACTATAGGGTCAGTTTCCTTGGCAATGTATTGGTGAAATTCATTATGAAACAAAAAAGTAGCAAATTGCAGTGATGATTTAATTGGAATATACCTATACTGGGATGTAAAAAATAAATGTAAAGAGGAGAGAAAATAAGGAAATTAAAACCTAAGTGTGTTATAATGATATACAAGTTTTTTAAGCTTATTATTATATACTAGTGCTAAAACACATGATTAGATATAGAACTAGTTACATAGTTACCACTGTTAAATTATTTATATAAGTAAAAAGGTGTTTAGGTATTTTGAAGAGTTATAAACTATCTAGGTTTAACACGTCATCTTGTTCAATTTCAAGTACACAGTCAGTTGAGGTTTCATTTTGTTACATTACCACATGTTCAGTTACAGACGTAATATGTTATTATGTGTTAGTTACAAATCTAGTGTTTATACAAAACATTTTGCATATGCAAGTAAGAGAAGTATAGTCATTTTAATATAATTGACCACTTTAAATGTTAGAGAACATAATGCAGATTATGATCCTATTTGAATATTTTAACTTTTTATAATACTATTCCCTCCCAAAAAAAAGAATATACTAAATAAATAAAGTAAAAAAGAATGCCAGAATTTCCTCATTTACTATAACGTCAAATCCACAGTTTTAGAGTGTTCCAACCAGATTTTCAAAGAGGAACATCCTAATAGAGTACTTTACAACACATAAAAATATCTAAGTAATACAAGCTGTGGAAGGGTTGAAATATTTGGGGATGGGGTCAAAGGTAAAAAAACCTATGTCAGCAAAATGAATCAAAACAATATAATTCATTTTCTCCATTACAGAACATGAAACAAGGATAAAAGAAAGCCACATATATATAATCAGTTGGCAAACAATGATTTACAACCATAATAAAGTGTTTTATTTTTATGTTCCCTCCAACATAAAACACTTTGTTATCCTTGTAAATCAAGGATAAAAGAAAGCCACATATATATAATCAGTTGGCAAACAATGATTTACAACCATAATAAAGTGTTTTATTTTTATGTTCCCTCCAACATAAAACACTTTGTTATCCTTGTAAATCGTTGTTTGACAACTTGTTATTATATTAACATAATGTACTTTCTTATTCAAGAAAAACAGGTACATGAAAAAACTTCTCAAGACAGTTCAAATTCACTTCTTACATCATATTGACAATACGATATATATTTTGGTCTCATTAAGCCCAGAAAGATTTCCTGACCTGTTATCCCCACATTTCAACTGCTTTTCAGCTTGTATTGCTTAGATATTTTTACATGTCATGAAGTACTGTATGAGATTGCCTTTCATTAAAAGCTAGTTTGAAAAACTGTGGATCTGATGGAAGTTAAATGACGAGGAAATTATAGTTTTATTTTACTTTTATCAGTAGCAGCCTCCATTTTGGTCAAACACACTAAAGTGACTTTTTATAATAATTTTAGTTGCATATGCATATGTTTTTCGTTGTTTTTTTTTACTTCACCGGATAAAACATAAAAGTCCACCTTTTACTTCTATCACAATCACACTGACCTGAAATTGGTTTCAAAAAATTTAATTTTCCCCCTATGTATTTCAATGAGATACAGGGTGTCCTCGTTATATGTCAAATAAAAAAACAATCAATAAATGCTTCTGCTCCTTCCAGAAACCTTTGTTGTTAAAGGCAACATGATAATGTACTAATGTTGTTTCACACATCAAAAGATGGTAAATTTTACTTGTAAAGCCTATAAAACTGAAGTGAACATCTTAAATGTACAGTATACAGTAGAATTACAAGTAAACCTTAGGACACTCTATATAAGAATGCAAAATATAAATCATATATCTTACTTACAAAGTCTCTGTCAGATAAATAAGATGAAAATGGAAAGAAGTGAAACAGGCCTCATTTAACCATTTCTGCTAAATGGTAACTTATTTTTCTAATGAAAATGCACTTATGGAAACTTACCTACGTTCTTCTACAATTTTTACTTTTTCACACCCATCTGGAGGTTCTCTGGCCAAGAACCTATTAATACAAGGACTTGTGCCAAATTTAAAACTGTAGTCTGGATCAGGTGAGGCACTTTTACTACTCTCTGAAAACACACAATAAATACTACTGTTTATTTAACTTATAAAACATGTTTCTGTTAACCCTAAGGAGCTAAGTAAAAACACAATGAAAATAGTGAAACTATTAATTATATTTTTATATATGTATAAATGTGCTTTTTCAGTATTTGTTTATAAAAGCTTTTGAAAGACTACATGTTATTTAAACATGTTTTAACTGAATATTTGTTTTTTCTTTTCGTACATTATTTATAAATTAATTATAAGTGCGTAACAAGAGCTTTTAAGATAAAATAAATGTAAAATTCTTCATTCTAGGAACTTAATATTAATGTTATTAATATCTAACAGTATTTTCATTAATAACTGTAGAAAATACAGCAGTTAATAAGATTCACTTACAGTCTGCAAAGTTAGTAAGCTGTTAAAAATGAACAAAGAGCTTGTTTTTCACAATATTTAGCTTTTACATATTAAGAACATTCAATAATATTTAGATGGGTATATATATTTTTCTGATTTCCATGACCATAAAGCCTTCTTCAGACTTAAACTGACTAATACTGTGTTCAGCTTTAACAACTTAAAGTTTTTATCCACTACATGTAAACAACATAAGACTGAGGAACATACAGGTCTAAATATGGCACATTTCACTAACTTGACTAACCTCTACTGACAGGCTGAGAGCTGTCCATTTGGCCTAAAAATGGAACAACTGGTGAGACTGACTGACTGCGACTAGTTGCACCACTACTAGGGCAACTCTCTCCTCTACCAGAGGGAGTTTGTGTGTCCACATTTCGTGTGGATATGGCTGTAGTGGATCTGAAGAGATCAGCAATAGGGGCCCGATGGCCATCCGGTGGTGGATCTAGATCCTACAAAATATGATTGACTCTTAAAAGAACTTGTATAATGTTTGATATTCTCTACTTACTGATAGCATTATTCTATTCTGTCAAAAACAATTTGTAGAAAACAGTTATCTAGTAACTAATTTTATTCTAATTTCAACAGAAAAGCCAGGCAAGTTAAGTTAACAAAACTAGTTTGTGAGAAAATTTTTGTAATTTTATAGCTTTACATGAAAAAAACCAATATTAAATTAAAATCCATTATCATAACTTCATGCATCCATAACAGAAGATTATCTGCATATTTACAATAAATACAGCTATTACACAAAAAACATCAGATACTTTAATTTTCAATATTAATATAAAACACAATCACGCATCATTTAAATAAATTTAAGTGAATATTTCGCAAAATATAAGGAGCAACGTTTAAAATAATTATCAGTGATAAATAAAATTAGATGAAAGATTGAAAACCAAGAAAAAGACAAATTACAATATTCCTCATTTTTACTTACCCTCTCAAGCTCTACATCTCCAACATCATTCCCTGAGATTCCCTTGAGAACTAATCTTTCTATCTCCTGAAACAATTCAATATGTAAAAAGAAATGAATTATTAAAACTGTAATTTGAAGATGTGAAACTATCATTAAGTTTCAATAAATTGGATGTCTGTGTATATACATATAATCATATAAATGTAACTGTACAGATGAACAAAAAGATGATCAGTCAAATTTTATTTTAATGAAAGTTAATGCCTCAGCACTTTCAGGGTATTCCTTGGTACACGGATTTCCCACAGAGTAGTTAGTTAGGGCCCACTAACTGGAGCTATAAATTAAATGATACCAACTAATGGAGTGTGTCTGTCTGTCTGTCAATATCAATTCAAACCCTGACTGAGTTCATCATGAAGAAAGTGTTAAAATGCAGAAGGTTCAAATAATCTTTATTAACATACAATAATCACAGTTACAAAACAAAAGATGGGCAAGTAGAACTGTAGTGTGTTGGACTAGCAAGAGAGAGAGAAAGGGGAATTGAAAACTGTGTGAGCTCTCTGTCACCAGTCCAGTGTGTACGTATGTCGTTAGTTAAACCAGAACAATGAAATATTTAAGTAAAACCTAAAATTAAAATACAAAAACACATCATACTGTATTGTCCTACGACCTTTTGTTTTTAGGCTAAATAATGTGATTTACTGTTTCTTACATTAAATCACATCTTTTACAGTTTTAATTTCACTAATATTAAACTTTATGCATAAAAACTTGATATATATATATAGCAACAGCTCTCCACAATTTTCAATAAAGATGTAAAACAGTACAACTAAAAATAAATTGTTGTTTTTACACTGCTTGAAACTCAATTGTGTCTGAAAATACTTTCTTAAGGAAACCTACAGCAGAATATGCATCATTTATGTTACTCATTGTAGTATCTATATATGTAAATTACTTGCTTTATCTACACATCTGAGTCAACACGCTATATCTGCAATTCTCTGTTTACCTACTACATTTGTTTACATAAGATTATTATTTGAGAATTTTTCTCGCAGAGCTTGACTATAAGAATTAGGGCAAAAATGCTACTTACCTGATTTAAACCTTCAACACTGCTGAGGATGCGGGGAAAGGGAGTCTTTGGAATGTGAGGGATTGGAATTGGGCCTGTGTGAGGCTTGCCAATTGTCCCCGTAGGCCCACCATGTGTGGGGACGCTATACAACAGTTGATAAGGTGAAGTGCTAGCAGGTAACGCTGTTGTGGACGGCGATGATGGGCAAAGGGAACCATTATTGTTACCAGCAGGAGTAGAGATTGATATGGCAGAATGGTCTCCTTGAAAAGGACTAAGCCTCTGGTGCGAGCTGTAGCCTCCTGGGCCATGACTGCTCTTGGTGGTCCGTTGAAGTCTTTGGCGAATGTACTGGAACAAAATGAATTTATATTGAAATTTTTTTCCAAGTAAAAAATGTGGGTGTATATTGTTAGTAAAAATATTTGCAAAATATCAAAATGAATACACTTCACAGTATATTTAGTTTATAATGACTGAAGATTTTTTTAGAAAATCGAAATTGCTCCTGTAAATCTGTACTGTTCTTCTTATAAATAAAATACCACTTCAGTTTTATTTGCTTGTTTGTTTTGTACAAAAAAAAATATGGTTTTCATTAAATATTAAAAAATTTTCTGATAATTTTAATTGTCTGAAAATAATTTCTAAAAAAAAACAATTCTTTAGGAAACCTACAACAATAACTACAAGCAGGTAGGTGAAGAATACACATTATTTATATTACATATTCTAGTACCTGTATATGTAAGTCTAACTGTACCATGTGTGTGTTTTATTCTACTGACATTACTGTATCTAATTTTAGCTCAGGTACATGTTAAATCTACCCATGGTGCCCGAGTTAACATATCTAGGTTTACTTACTTTATCTACGTATCCGAGTCAACTTGCTAATAACTGTATTTCTATATTTACCTGCTACATCTATTTAAGTAAAATTCTTTTTTTTTAAAATCAATGGCTTAGTTTAATATATATATATATATTTTAACATAAAACAAAAGTGCCTAAGGTAGAAGAATTTCAAAAAATGGGTGAGACAGAACAATGTCTCAACAGTTAAATTTTAATTTACAGTTTTACGTGAAAGGCACAGAAGGGTCCTTTCTTTTCTCCAGTATTTTCTCCATATTTCATTTGCTTATGTAAAGTTGAACATTTTTTTATTTAATCAACAATTCATATTGAAAACTCAAAAGCAGTGTGCACAACTTCTTAAAAAGACAATTCCTCAGCATCAACTTGGTTTACCATGGCTCAACGACACCACTGTCTGCACACGTGTATCTATAATTAAGTCTACTTTCCATAACTACATTCTTATCAGTAGCACTCCTGTTTCCATCTGCTTTATCTGTGTATCTAAACCTACCTGTTGTGCCTACAGACAAACATATCTGTGTTGTGCATCAACACCTAAACATTCTAGCTGTATTTACTTCTGTTTCTAATTACGTAAGTCTACCTCTTGTAATTATACATTTACAGTTACTTGCTCCATCTGTATCTGTAAGTTTACTTGTTGTGTCCAGTTGTTATATGTGTATATAATAAATCTACTTACTACACCTAGGTTAAATGTACATGTTGTATCTAGTTATCTAAATCTATACACTATAACAATTTTACACATGCAGTAAAAATATTTATAACGTAATGTTCAAGTAAGTATAGAAAAAGTATTTGCATGTTGTACCTATTGTACGTGTGACAGTCTGGATAAATTTCATCTACTCAATATTTTTTAAACTATAAATGATGAAGTCTATATACTTTGATAACTTGCATATATCTACTTATTTGTTAACTTTTCTGTGCATTTCCCATAGAGCAGCAAAATTTAAATAAATTCAGCATTAATTACAATCATTCATCAAGTATAAAACAGATTAACTGTATGTAAAACTTCAACTACTAAATTATACAAAAGTTGTTCACGTCAAATTGATTAATGAATCGTAAACTATTGCAATAACTTTTTCATAAATTAATAAATTAAATACAGCAGATAGCAAGTGATAGAGATTATTTATATAAGCTATGAAATTTTGCAATTTATTATCAATTAAAACACTAGATATAATGCTATAAGAAGGAAACTTGAAACAAACTTTCTAATAGAAATATTTTAAGTTTTTTTTAATTTTGTTGATATTAATAAACCAAATTTATACTTTCCCTTAAAGTTACATTTTGTTACACCTCTGTTTTTATATGAATAATCTTATGTGTGGCTCTTTTTTAAAATTATGTATTAAACAAATATTTCCTGTAAACATTTATATTTTGAGAGAATCCCACATAATAATATATTACACACACACACAGTGAAAATCATAAGCTTTGTCTTGTTAATGTTTCTGTTACTTGTTTCTTTGTTTTGAATTTCGTGCAAAGCTACACAAGGGCTATCTGCACTAGCCATCCCTAACTTAGTAGTGAAAGACTAGAGGAAAGGCAGCTAGTCATCACCACCCACCGACATCTCATGGGCTACTCTTTTACCAATGAATAGTGGGATTGACTATCACATTATAACACCACCACAGCTGAAAGGACGAGCATGTTTGGTGGGATAGGGATTTGAACCCATGACCCTCGGATTGTGACCCAAGCGCCCAATCCACCTGGCTATGCCATGCCTTCCATTTCTTATCAATATCATCTTGTGATTGTGTTTAAATGCATCAGTTAATATAAATTTAAAATATTCATTAGATAACAATACCATATAAAGTAATCCAATAGGAAGTTAAGATTCACAAAGTAATCCAATAGGAAGTTAAGATTCATATAGTAATCCATTAGGAAGTTAAGATTCATATAGTAATCCAATAGGAAGTTAAGATTCATAAAGTAATCCAATAGGAAGTTAAGATTCATAAAGTAATCCAATAGGAAGTTAAGATTCACTTTGAACTAAAGAAAATGTGAAAGTTTTGAAACTTGTCCTATAATGGTTGCTCTTAACTTCATTTTAGATTTATTAAATAACAACTTGAGAATTACAGTTTTCAACAATAACAGCTACCTAGGTTAAAGGTAACAAATACATCCTAATAGAGCTTTAGGTGGGGAAGTTTATCTGATAGAACTTGTGAACATTTGCAGTTATTATAGTTTGATGTATCCTTAAAGAATTTTTTTTGCTAAATTTATGATGCACAATTAATATAAATTAATTCTTCAATAATTACATTTTCTTCATGTCTAAAAAAATTTGTTGATAAAAGTTGTTCAAAATTTTCATAAATTTTTGCATAACCTCTGTCTAGTTTGCTATAGAACTTAAAATACTTCAATTCAATGGAATCTTAACAACATGCCTTAAGTGAGAAATTTTCTTCATTAATTATCCTACTATATCAATCAAACAGCAGCAGCAAATGTGTTGAAATAAAAGTAATGAAATTAAATATAACATTTTTGAATTATTTATGTAGTGATTTGTTAAGACATTTAAAATACAGATTTTTTTTCTTCCAAGGTACAATTAACAGAAAACCATGTATAAAAAACTATACAAGCTGACCAATCTTTTCTAAAACAAAATCAGGATTTTGGTATTAAAAATGTTCAGAAACGTAGCCCAACTTTCAAGTATTAACCACATAGTACAATATTTAAATCATCTTTACATAGAAGAGAATGTTTACTTTGAACCAATATTATGACTTAAAATGAAGAAATGTATTTACTAGAATAACCAACCTACATTATTTTATTACACACCTGTGTTAATCTTTATTAAAATACACCTTATCTAAAACATTGTCAACATTTATTTTTAAACCCAAAAGAATAAAGAAACACAAATGATACCTTCATTTCTAATTGGTCTCCTCCATTGCCAGTAGACTTTCTTTGTGATCCTTTCTTCCTATCCGATTCATCCCATTCATCTGTCTAAAATTCCAAAATACAGTCCATCAGTTATACAAATGTTCCAGTATTGTTAAACAGTTAAAGACCGTACATGTATATTGGGGATAATAAAGAACATTTTTGCTTCAAATACATTTGTTCCATTTCACAGTAAGAAAAATGTGTATCATACCTGGAATTTAGATCTTTATAATATTAAAATAAATTTCCATAGCAGAATAAGAAAAATAACCATAAAGAAAAATAAGGAAAACTTGTATATTAAAAACACACAGATAAAAGAAAATCTCAAAGAAACCAACTGTGATAAAAATGACAATGATACAGAGAAGCAGAGAAGGGCTATTAATGAAATCTGCTAAATGACTAATTGTTGAACTCAATCCAATATATTCAACTAGTCGATTATTATCATATGGGACTTGTGTAGTTGAAATAATAGAAAATAGTAATAATCAGAAATACTAATTTCAACTAATTGATTATTTTCATAGCATTAATAAATTTAATTGTAATTTCAATGAATTGCTTATTTTATGTGACATAATCAATGCTCTTAGGTAACTGATTATATTGATTAATCACCTAGTCCACAGACAAGTAGGTTTTAACCTATTTTAAACTAAACCTGAAAGAATACCAACACTGGTGATATAAATTACTGTGAACAACTTAAAGACAATTCTAACAGAATATTGAGAGCTACAAGATTTAACAAAATTTTATATAAAAAAACACACTGTTTTTTGCTATTTTAAGAAATTTAGCCATAAGAAATTACAGAGAGAAACTACTTTGAGAAAATCTTAATACTTTGTAGTTTTCTTAAAAGTACTTGTAATCATAGATTTTTATCTTAGTTCAAAACCAAATTTTAAGACAAAAAAATATGTATTTCTTTAAAATATAACTTAATTATAAATACAGATATGTTAGTCTATGCGATACGCTGATATTCTTACTCTATTGGTGCTTGCGAGGTATGAGGCATTATACTTAATACATCATTTCAAAACAAATACATTAAAATGTCTCCTTATCAACATCCTTTGAAAGTTGTAAAATTTTCTAATCAGATGCTGTTCCAGCAAATTAGGGTACAGCAACATGGGAGTTAAAAATGCTGTCATTCTCCTCATATCTGTACAGTACCCAGTTCAAAAAAAAAAAAAAGTGATTCAACTATTTACGTTTTTGTTTAATAAGTATGATCGTTTGATCTTGGAATGATCTCAATCACTTATTTGTTTAATTTTCTGATAGACTTTTTGCTGGTCATTTGAGTTACAAGTTAACTTCAAACCAAGGGTGACTCAAATATTATATATAAGCCTAGTGGATTCAAGATTTCATTAATGAGTACTGACCAGGGAGTTCTTTTACCTTGTAGTAACATTTTCATGACATTATGATTCATAAAGATGGCCTAGTTTCCATACACCAAAATATAAATAACATACAATTTTGGGGCATGAAACAAAAGTGAAAATGGACACCAACTGCCCTACATAGATAGCAGAGTTTTACTGAAAAAATTTCGGTAAAGAAGGCATTTTGTATTGGAACCCTTTCAGTAAAATTCTGATATTTCTGCAAAGCAGTTGGTGTCCATTTTCACTTTTGTTTGGTCATAAATGTACTGCCTAGATCAACAATTAAAGAAAACGTAGAACATGTATGTGGAAAATGTTCATATAAGTCTGAAAAAAAAGAAGATGAAATATTGTAAAGTAGCATTGTACAAACATTCCTGTACCAGTATTTTAATTACATTATCTAAATGTGTTTACAGACATAAAATCAACTGAAAAAAGTATAAGAACAAGAAAGAAAAAAAACGTAAGCCAAATAAAATACAGACATAACTCAAAGTTGTAAGGGCCTCTTACACACGGATGTAATCCAACATCGCTTTTATTGTAAGGAATTGTTAAATAAGAGTCAAGGTCAACATTTTAATACTGTCTAGCCCTGATCTGTAGGTCGACGTTGAAACATTAGACCTGTTGCTTTGGCATATATCCATAGTAGGCAAATTTAGAAATGTTATTCTACCTCTTAACAAAACTGTTTGGAAGAGAACTTAATACTCACGTAGCTGTATGTTTTAGTAGAGCGCATCCTAAGCATGTATACGAAACCATAGTAAAAAACAATAAAATTCTCACTCTTCTCAAAAATACTTAGGAATAGCGATAAAAAAATGCATGAATGGCGAATAAACAAAACTGAGGTTTGCTTTTAACAGCACCACGTTTACCAACGATTCAGATCCGGAATTGGTATGTAACACGAAAGAACACAAGGAGGTTTGGTTTTACATTTAACATCACCACTCTTACCAGTGATTCGGTCTGATTGTTATGATATTTGTATCCACAATTATCTCGATGATGATGTTTTTCTTTATTCACGGATGATTTTTCTTGTCATCGATGTCGATTTGGTTTGTTTTGAATTTCGCGCAAAGCTACACGAGGGGGTATCTGCGCTAGCCGTCCCTAATTTAGCAGTGATAAGACTAGAGAGAAAGCAGCTAGTCAACACCACCCACCACCAACTCTGGGATACTCCTTTTACCAACGAATAGTGGGATTAACATTCACGTTACACTGCCTTGCAAGAGTATTCACTCCCCTGCATTTATTGCCGTCTGAACTTGCAATCATGAAATTTTATATTTAGAATCTACATTATTCTCTACAAACGGAGAAATATAAAAAAAAAACAACTGATATTATGTAAGTAAGTTAGATTTTCAAAGAAAATTAGAATATTCTC